GCAGGAAGGAGATTCCCTACTTCATTGGTTAAAACTGTTGGCAAAATCCCGGGTAAATAAGATGCTGCGTTGTCACAGTGATGATCCTGGCACCCACAGCAGTGTCCCTTTGGCTCACACCAGTCTCACGTCCAAGCAGAAGAGCTTTTGATGACTTGTAGCTGTTGTGGCAGCTGGTGCCTCACTCGTGGCCTCTCCCTGCAGGATAACTACACCTTTGCCCAGCCGGGGATCCAGAAGAAGGTGAAAGCCCTGGAGGAGCTGGTCAGCCGCATCGATGGTAGGTGGTGAACAGAGCATGAACGGGGCAAGGGCAGAGGGCAGCTGAAGTTTGGGGTGCTGGAGGCATCGGGGAAGGGGACCTGCTCACAGCAGGACAGGGCGCAGTCAGCGGGAGGGCCCCTGGGGACAGGGTTTGCCCAGGTGGGGAGCACAGGCCGGGATCGGGTGTTGGGAGGGTGAAGGGCTCCCCTGAAGGGCCACGGCAGCAGTGGTGGGGCCGGTCCCGGTGCAGGAGGCGGTCGCCAGGTGTGTGAGTGAGCCGTGCTCTTCCAGAGCAGGTACACAACCACTTCAGGAAGTACGAGGTCGAATACCTGCAGTTTGCCTTTCGCTGGATGAACAATCTTCTCATGAGAGAGTTGCCTCTTCGCTGCACCATCCGCCTCTGGGACACCTACCAGGTAGGCAGGCCCTGCTCCTCCCTCAGCTCCCGAGCCGGTTCTCTTAAATCCAGGAGGATTTTTGGAACATGGGGAGAAGCAAAGCAGTGTTTGTGGCCAGTGGGACAGCGGGGTGTCCCAGCGGAGCGGCTGTGTCCTGAGGAGCCCCCGGTGCCGCGGCCGTGGGGCTGATGCAGTTTTGTTGCCCGCAGTCGGAGCCGGAAGGGTTCTCGCACTTCCACCTGTACGTCTGCGCCGCCTTCCTCATCAAGTGGCGCAAGGAGATCCTGGATGAGGAAGACTTCCAAGTAAGTCCGTGAGGGGGGTGATGATTCCCTTAGGGAAGAGGAGAGGGGATTGCCCTGGACACAAGCGCAGTCAGGGCCCATCTCAGATCTTCCAGCCTCAGGGGCTCTGCTCCCAAATGACTCCGGAGCCGGGGCTGGGGGTGCACGGAGCCTCCACCCGCCCTGAGCGCCTCCCCCTCTTCCAGGGCCTTCTCATGCTCTTACAAAACCTCCCGACCATCCACTGGGGCAACGAGGAGATCGGACTGCTGCTCGCCGAAGCTTACAGACTCAAGTACATGTTTGCGGACGCCCCCAACCACTACCGGCGATAGGGGCCGGTCCGACCCCCTCCTCCCGCCCTCGGCCTGGCCCCG